GCTCGGGGAGATACTCCTCATGGGCATGCGACAGATCGCCTCCGCCGTCGCCTCCGTCGGCGCCGGGAAAACCGGGAGGACCGCGTGGTCCATCGACCATCAGAACCTCCGCCGCTGGATCACTGATGTCGCACTCGGATGCAGTCTCTGCGGAGCCAGTCGACGGGTCGAACAGGCCGTAGAGAGATTTGTCGGGCTCGATTGCCGCGACTTGGGGGGTGGCCGACTGGCGAGCCACCGCATGTCTCACCCACCGCTGAAGCCTCGACCGACCGGAGTGCTTGCGCCGGCCGGAAACAGGGAGGGAGGACGACACAAAGACCGACCGATACTGGGTCGAGGGCTGCCGCAGGAGGACGCCACGGACGCACGCGCGAAAGTGCGTCGCTCTGCAGACTGGGAGCGCGTCGATGTCGAGCGGAGCCTCCTGAAGCCAAGCAGAGTCGTTGGCGATGAACGTGAGCGCGCCGAGACGGATCTCGTGGCCCTCAACCAAAACTCTGCCTGAAACCATGATGAAGGAGGTCGGAAAAAATCGCAACTTCTCCAGTAAGTCGCTAAGACACCTACCCCACGGTGGGCGCCAACTGTCGTCGTTCTAAGTCTGACAATAGTGTAGGGGGTACTAATGGAGAGGCAAGATCCTAGCTATGGAGTACTTGTATACGCAAGAGATTTACGAGTTCAGGCCCTTCTCGGAGGAAGTAATAGCCCTACGTCTTGGAGCCCGGAGGCGGTCGACTGGATTATATGCATATGAGTTACAGGGGTGCGAACCCTTTAAATTGAGGAGGGGGTGGCTTATATAGAGTCCGCCAGACCCCTCTGGCCCTCAGGTATGCAGGGTTTAAGATACATTAAGATTGGGCGTTACTGGTAACGCTACACATAAAGTGCTATGATGACCATAAAAGCTACTTAATGACCGACCGTTGGCGTGCAGAGTGACTTTAGATCTCCTGGCCGTCGAGTGGTTGGCTTCATGGTCGAGTGGTTGGCTTCATGGTCGAGTATCTTTGAGTCAGTCGAGTGGAACACTTCTGAGTCAATTGACAGGTGGTTTCTTCTAGAGATGTCCTTGGGTAGGGTAGCTTGGACAGGTCCGTGACCCTACCCTTGGTACATACCTTCATCAGGTGGCGCGTCAATTTTCACTGGCGTGACCATAATTCATATGCCATCTATATTCCATTAGCGGTGGCATTCCCGTGCCATTGCACGCCAGGGATGTGTGGGCCTGGTTGCATGTCTTGCCATTACTTTTGGTGCCGTCGAAGAATGTCCACACGCGAGTATAATTTGGACAAGTTGTGGCATGGGCCAAATAGACACGCCACATTTTTTTCAGGTTTTTGTCTGGCCATTTTTTACCCTACTTAGATCATCTCTAATAGAAGATGTATATTTGGACTCAAAAACTACTTTTTACATTTCAAAAAGTCTCAACTCCAAGAGATGATGTATATTTGGTGATGTAAAACAAAGAGTAATGCTACATCAACGGACAGACTTTTACGGATTCAATGGACTGGTATTAGGTGCCATTTTCTAATTGGAGATTAGGGAGAAAGGTGGGGCCCACCCCAATGAAACTCAGGGCCGGTGAGGTTATTAGGAAGAAGGAGTCTGTAAAACCTCCGTTGCTGTATGCTCGAATAGATGATGTATATTTGAAGATGTTAAACGGCCAACAACCTTTGCGACATTTTGTTGGGCACATTGGAGGCGGTGGCTGTGGGTGTGGCCGTGTCTTCCGCCATGGCTGGTGGCGGGGCTTGCGGTGATGGAGGAGGAGGCCCATGGCCGGCGGCTATTGGTGGCATCGAATTGGCTGAAGTAGCAGCAGACGCCTTCATCTTCTTCCACGCCCCGAGGAATCATCTGCGGATCGAGCTGCAACGGCGTCAGAGCGACGTGTGTCGCGGCGCCTGAGCGTCTAGCTTCAAATGCGGCTGCAAGCGGAGCTCGAATGGCCGTCAGCGAGAGCTCTAATTGGAGCGGAGGATTGGCTGCAGCAGAGCGACATGAGAAGCACGAGTCGGGTGGCGAAAAAGCGGCGGCGGCATGGTGGCAGGTGTGCGGGGGGATTCCGGCAGTGGCAGGACGGTGGGGGGGAGCTCCAATCGAGTGGCAGGGCGGTGACAAAGCGGCCGATTGATCGACTATTTTTAGGCGGAGGGCGGCATAGCCGGCACTGGGAGAGTGGGAAGGCTGGATCTAGTGGCAGCAGGGTGCGGTGGTGTTCGAGGGCGGGCAGCGCCGCGGTGGGTGGGCGGCCGCGAGCGGGCGGGTGGAACTGAAATGAAGTGGCGGTTGGGCGTTTGCGCGTGGCTGGTTGTTTTACATCACCAGGAAGGTTAGAGATGCAAATTTACATCTTCAAATGTTGTATTTTACATCACTTGAAGCACGTGATGTAATTTTTTTACATCTACATCATCTGTTGAAGGTGCGTTTTAGGCCTCAGAGATGTATAAGTTAGTTATTTTTGCATTACATCTTCTATTGAAAATACTCTTAGTTATGGTGGCCTATTAGAATGGTGTCAACACATGTGTCGTTTTTAATAGTACGTACCTCTTAGCGAAAAACCTAGCCTTTGTCATCCAAGAGTGCATGCAATCCAAGAGAGCCTAGGTCATTTATTTTCTCTAGCCAGTAGTCGGGCACCAACGGCAGCAGTCGGGAATGTATGAGAGCTTTCTTTATGAGGCGGCCGTTGAATCCTCTAACGCGACGACGTGGCCGTCCGGGGATAAATGGTAGTGTGGCCACCCATACATCCATTCTGACTACTTCAGTTTAGCGTAGGATAAGTATCTCAAAGATACATAGATATATGGCTATTGAATACTAGAACAAATGATTGTTATCAAGAGCATGCAAAGACGATCCTATATATACACAAATGATTGTTATATAGGATCGGTTTAGCGTAGAACAAGTGATTGTTATCTCCGCCGCGCGATCGTGGCGGAGTGAGGCCATAGCTGGCACCTCATCGACGGCGAGGGGGTGCAGATACACCATTGCGCACTGGTACATGGTACGAATTTTGACTCTATAGTGGTGTTCCAATTTCCTTGTCACGTTGTGCACACGCATGGTGGGACTGGCCATATGGCACAGCACACCTCGGGCGGCTCGCATGGCGGCGGGTGGGTGGATGGCAATAAGTTCGAGGGAGGGGGGAGTGGAGTCAACACACCAATTCGTTCGCCTCCCCACCCTTGACCACAGAGAACGGCGGAGTTTGAGAGAGAACCTTGTCGAAGATGGTGGTGATCTCGGAGGCGGCCGCTGAATCCTCTAACGCGACGACGTGGCCGTCCGGGGATAAATGGTAGTGTGGCCACCCATACATCCATTCTGACTACTTCGGTTTAGCGTAGGATAAGTATCTTAAAGATACATAGATATATGGCTATTGAATACTAGAACAAATGATTGTTATCAAGAGCATGCAAAGACGATCCTAAATTCTTTTGCCTCACTTGATTTTACTTCACTAAATTGTTAATGTAAACGTAAAAATATATATTCATCATGACGTAAATCCAACCGATATGGTTAATGGGCCGAATTTACTATCCATACTAAATACTTCCTCCGTTTCTAAATATAAGTCTTTTTATAGATTTCAATATGGACTACATACGGAGCAAAATGAGTAAATCTACAATCTAAACTATGTCTATATACATCTGTATGTAGTTCATATTAGAATATTTACAAAGACTTATATTTAGGAACGGAGGGAGTATATGTTACTATGCACATATAATTTTACCTTTTTTGTTTGAAGATGTGTGTTATAGATTTGGGTTGGCATGATTGATATATGTTGTGCTTGTGTCATCCAATTTCCAGATTTTTTTTAAGAATGGTATTTCTAAACGAGAGGAGTACCAAGAGTGCGCCCACATGTAACCCATCTGGGAATTACAAAAGCAAGTCTTATAGGTAGGCAAACGGTTAATCGAAATGATAATTCATCTCTGAGCCCGGCTCATCTAACCTTGGTGAATAGTAAAATCATTAAAAACCGCAAAAAGAATCAAAAAATTCTGATTTTTTTATGATGCAACATGCTTGAGTGTGTGATGCTTGTGCTAAATTTGGTGAAGTTTAGATATTCGAGGAGCCCGTGAGAAAAGAAAAACAAAATGACCTTCGAACAGTGCGGAATTTAAACTTTCTCGCATATCTGAATTTTCTTTTGGCCAAGAGCTTCTCAAATGTCCAAACTTCATCAAATTTGGCATGGACATCCGCACTCAAACATCTTTCACTATATAAAATGAAAAAATTTCTTAATTTTATCGCTATTTTTAACGAATTTACTATTCGCACTTGGGCCTCCCTAACCTAAAGGGCTCTCTCCGACGACACTGACTATTCGACTAGATAGCTTGGGTAAGAGGGCCACCCTAACATACATCAATTTCGTCTCTAAAATCTTATTGTATGGTCAATTGATCATTGTCAATAAACAATGCAATGTTGTATCTATATCTATATCTATATCAATATAAAAAGACTCAAAGGAGCAGATTCAACAAATCTCAGCGATCAAACAGCGTCAATTCAATGACCTATATTGCTTCAATGCGGAGGGCTCAACATGTTTGGCATGCAATTAATAACATACAAATATATACTATCCACATAATTAACTTGTAATGATATCCTACATAATATTGATTTGCAAGTAATTTTCTGCTTAATATCAACATATAAATTAATTTTCTGCCATATCAACCTGCATTGCGCGTACCCGGGGTAATTGCCATCGAACGTACTCCGTATCTAAAAGATATGATCTGAGCGTATCTCAAGGATACGCTTACCAAGGGGAGCTTCAACTCTCGCGCAGGAACTCTATATAAGCACAACATCATCCATCATCCTGGACATACTCTGCCCGTCTCTGGTCCTAGCAAACGAAGCCCAAAACTATCTACCCATCCTCGTGGTTTATCAAGAAAACATCACATACCATGGACGCCAGGCATGCCACCCTGTGTTTCCTCCTAGTTCTCGTGTTGCACGGAAATCCTACTGCAGAGGCCGGTTCGTGTTCTCTCTCTGTCTTAAAATAAATGTCTCTGATTTAGTACAAAATTATGAATGGATGAAGTATATTGTTGTGAATTTCATTAACATTTTCGTGTGTTGAGATAATACTTATGTATTGTTTCGTGCAGAGGATTGCAGATACAGGAACGATAAGCTGCCGCTATGCCAGGACGTTTTGTGCAAGACACGGTGCTGGCTGGAGGGGGCGGTGGTGAACGCCGAAGTAAAAGAGTCCAGATGCGTGGGATCAGGGCCAGGCTCCACCTGCTACTGCCTCTTCTGCAAAAAAGATTGAACGTTCTGAAGGTTCCAGCCGAGCGTCAAGGCCATCCTTAGAGACGAAATCCTACCGAGTTGAATTGAAGACGCCATGCATGGATGCTGTTAAAAATCTTGTACTAGCCAGTAGTGTTATCCTTTTGTGGGAAATCAGTGGATCCTTTTATATCTATTTTTGTGGGGTAGGAAATCAAACAGTGAATCAAAAAAGGCCGGCCCCTTCGGATTTCTATCCTTCCCTTGCGTACCATGAGTTTATGTATATATTCAATTAACTTTATTTACTCGAGCATTTTATGATTTTGTTGCACATATGAACCATCTACGATGATATTGTGAACCGTAATCTCCCGTCCAGACAATTCTGTAGGAAAGTGTTCACACACAAACAAGTCATGTGTACCCCGGCGTCGAACGTGATACGCAGGACACGTGCCGGAGCAGCCATGTCGGGAGTGCGATACACAGGACATGCCGGCAAGAACTTTTAAGAACCTGAAACCTCGTACTGCCGGAAGGGACCCTGTATGGACGTGTGGGGGCTATGGGCTTCCCTAGGTCAACCTAAGCGCCCCTATGGCCTCAAGGTTCGTTACCCTGCAACAAGAACAACAACGAAGAATGAGAAAAAAAACTGGGGTAAAGAAGAAAGGGTAAAAGATAAAAGGTGATAGATTGATTTGTCGATATGTGTTGTTCAATCGGTCATTACCTCTCCTTATATATGATAGGTTTTTTATACCCACGGGTCACATATGATCTCAGATGGAGATGAGCCAAAAAGCAAATTAATCCATTTCGAGGAGACGAATAACTTTCATGCTGAATAGTTCTCGATTCAAGATCATCTTGAGGGTGTTTTGGACTGTTTTCTAACTTATATGCAGCAGAAAAAACGTACAAGGAAAATGTTCGGCCTTCAGTCGGATCTAATGATCCTTTGACCTTCTTCCCTTCATCCGGCCTTGGAACGGGCGTCCGGCTACCTTACCGAAAAGTCCGTCATTGTCAAACCTTACAGTTTCGTCTATAACTTTTGCATGCGATCTTGAATTAGATGATTCAAAAAGCAAAATCATCTTGACAAGGCGTTTTTTTTCATGTTAGAAACTTTTCATTTGAAGTCATCTTAATTGTGTTTGTTCCATTCTATGATCTGATGCCTATGCATGCATCTCTGAAATTGTCATAACTTTGGCATCCAAGCTCTATTTAGACGATCTTTATATTTATGTTGATCAACTCGGAGATGGCCATCCAAGGGTGACTTTGAATCATAACTTTGACTTCATCTTGTTATAGGTTCAAGACACTCTTTATGATCATTGCCACTTTTGAGCGTCAAGACACCCCCCCCCCCTTATTTTATGGAAAAGCTTGTGTACAAAAAATTAAACGTGTATCATTCTTGCCTAAAGACGATATCAACATTCCATCAGCCATTTGATATGCTTAGGGTGATGAGTTTATCGTTCATTGCTTGCTTGAAATTTTTTTATCCAAACTTGGATGGAACTTCCTCAGCTCCTTGCTTAGTTTTTAAGCAAGCACTTGAACAGAATACCATCAATAATCCGACAATAAAATTTCATATACCAATGTGCATCACAAATCCATCCGCCTAACCATCGTGTCCATCCTTTCACCAGATTTTGCAAATAATGAACAATGAGGTTCCCCGAACCCTGCGTTTGCTTGCACACAAAAATTCATTAGTAGCTGAAGTGGTGGGCCCAGTTCTGCATTACCTATGTCAGCGAGACTAAACATCAGCTATTGATAAATATGCAATATATCATAATCAACACGGTAGCTGAATGCTCGTTGAGTCAGCTCATTTGCTCTCAAATTCCATATCTAGATTTATGAGCAATACTAAAGCAATCCAAAGTGAAAATTATATCTAAACATGCATGAAGATAAACCTTAAGTGATTCGTCAAAATATCGATAATTATTTGATATTTTTTGTACCGCTAATGACGAATTACGTGAAGCCTCAACATGTGTAGCACCTATAGCAAGTAAAAGCTTCGGTCCGAATAACAATGCATATTCAGTTCAGATTATTTGTGCAAACAATATTATAAGCGGCATGAGGCTTCAAAAATAGTGCCATCAGGAGATATATAAACAATATCAACACCTTGGCCATTGCTATAAACTAGCTATCAAAATATAATCTCCACGGCCCTGGAGAGACAATGCACTAGTAGAGAAATGGTTAGCCACAACTTTAATTGGTGGCGCGTCAATTTTCATTGGCGTGACCATAATTCATGTGCCATCTATATTCCATTAGCGGTGCGTGCCCGTGCCATTGCACGCCAGGGATGTGTGGGCCTGGTTGCCTGCCCTACCATTACTGTTGGTGCTGTCGAACAATGTCCACACGCGAGTATAATTTGGACAAGTTGTGGCGTGGGCCAAATAGACACGTCACATTTTTTTCAGGTTTTTTTCTGGCCATTTTTTACCCTACTTAGATCATCTCCAATAGAAGATGTCTATTTGGAGATGTAAAAGCAGGTGTTGTATAATTTACATCATCAAAAACTGCTTTTTACATTTCAAAGAGTCTCAACTCCAATAGATGATGTATATTTGGTGACGTAAAACAAAGAGTAATGCTACATCAACGGACAGACTTTTACGGATTCAATGGACTGGTATTAGGTGGCATTTTCTAATTAGAGATTAGGGAGAAAGACAGGGGCCACCCTAATGAAAACCAGGGGCGGTGAGGTGCTACCTCTTGAGCATGCGTTAGTTTTCCCTTGAAGAGGAAAGGGTGATGCAGCAAAGTAGCGTAAGTACTTCCCTCAGTTTTTTAGAACCAAGATATCAATCCAATAGGAGGTTACACGAAAGTCGCCTTGTACCTGCACAAACAAATAAGAACCTTGCAACCAACGCGATAAAGGGCTTGTCAATCCCTTCACGGTCACTTGCAAAAGTGAGATCTGATAGAGATAATAAGATAAATACTTTTGATATTTTTATTGTATAGATTGAAAAGTAAAGATTGCAAAATAGTAAACGAGATGCAATGTAAATAAAAGAAATATAATACGGTGGGAAAGAGACCCGGGGGCCATAGGTTTCACTAGTGGCTTCTCTCAAGATAGCATGTCTTACGGTGGGTGAACAAATTACTGTCGAGCAATTGATAGAAAAGCGCGTAGTTACGGTGGGTGAACAATTCTGCATCTACTACTATTACTCCACACATCGACCGCTATCCAGCATGCATCTAGAGTATTAAGTTTATAAGAACAGAGTAACGCATTAAGCAAGATGACATGATGTAGAGGGATAAACTCAAGCAATATGATATAAACCCCATCTTTTTATCCTCAATGGAAACAATACAATACGTGCCTTGCTGCCCCTGCTGTCACTGGGAAAGGACACCGCAAGATTGAACCCAAAGCTAAGAACTTCTCCCATTGCAAGAAAGATCAATCTAGTAGGCCAAACCAAACTGATAATTCGAAGAGACTTGCAAAGATATCAAATCATACATATAAGAATTCAGAGAAGAATCAAATATTGTTCATAGATAATCTTAATCATAAACCCACAATTCATCGGATCTCGACAAACACACCACAAAAAGTATTACATCGAATAGATCTCCAAGAAGATCGAGGAGAACTTTGTATTGAGAATCAAAGAGAGAGAATAAGCCATCTAGCTAATAACTATGGACCCGAAGGTCTGTGGTAAACTACTCACACATCATCGAAGAGGCTATGGTGTTGATGTAGAAGCCCTCCATGATCGATTCCCCCTTCGGCGGAGTGCCGAAAAAGGCCCCAAGATGGGATCTCACGGGTACAGAAGGTTGCGGCGGTGGAAATAGGGTTTCGTGGTGCTCCTTGATGTTTTCGGGGTATATGAGTATATATAGGCGAAAAAAGTATGTCGGTGGAGCCACGAGGGGCCCACGAGGGTGGGGGGCGCGCCGCGCCCTCCTACCTCGTGACCGCCTTGTTGCTTTCTTGACGTCCACTCCAAGTCTTCTGGATTGCGTTTGTTCCAAAAACGATTCTCCCAAAGGTTTCATTCCGTTTGGACTCCGTTTGATATTATTTTTCTGCGAAACACTGAAATAGTCAAAAAACAACAATTTGCACTAGGCCTCCGGTTAATAGGTTAGTTTCAAAAATAATATAAAAGTGCATAACAAAGCCCATTAAACATCCAAAACAAATAATATAATAGCATGGAACAATCAAAAATTATAGATACATTGGATACGTATCATGAGGTTATTTGGAGGAAGGAGTCTGTAAAACCTCCATTGATGTCTGCTCGAATAGATGATGTATATTTGAAGATGTTAAACGACCGACGACCTTTTGCGACATTTTGTTGGGCACATTGGAGGCGGTGGCTGCGGGCGTGGCCGTGTCTTCCGCCATGGCTGGCGGCGGGGCTTGCGGTGGTGGAGGAGGAGGCCCATGGCCGGCGACTGTTGGTGGCGTCGAATTAGCTGAAGTAGCAGTAGGCGCCTTCATCTTCTTCCACATCCCAAGGAATCATCCGTGGATCGAGCTACGGCGGCGACAGAGCGACGTGTGTCGCGGCGCCTAAGCGTATAGCTTCAAATGCGGCGGCGGGCGGAGCTCGAATGGCCGTCAGCGGGAGATCGAATTGGAGCGAAGGATTGGCTGCGGCGGAGCGACACGAGAAGCTCGAGTCGGGCGGCGAAAAAGCGGCGGCGGCGTGGTGGCAGGTGTGCGGGGGGATTCCGGCGGTGGTAGGACAGTGGGGGGAGCTCCAATCGAGTGGCAGGGCGGTGAAAAAGCGGCCGGTCGACCGATTATTTTCAGGCGAAGGGCGGCGGAGCCGGCGCTGGGGGGAGTGGGAAGGCCGGATCTAGCGGCGGCAGGGTGCGGCGGTGTTCGAGGGCGGCCAGCGCGGCGGCGGGTGGGCGGCCGCGAGAGGGCGGGCGGGTGGAACCAAAATGAAGTGGCGGTTGAGCGTTTGCGTGTGGCTGGCTGTTTTACAT